GAAACTAGTGGAGCCAAATAAGATTGAACGATGGACTGTTGCTTAAATGTCTCAACATGATGTGGTACAAATAGTCTTATTCGAGATCCAATTAGATATGGAGACATGAAAGGAATTAGGATAAATTCTCATTGTGATGTGTTTCAAGATTCAAATTAGAACATATGTTATTATCATAATTAATCTCTGTCAAGTTTGACATAGTTACATCTACATTCTCCAAAGATAGATTCTCATTTCAAAGATAAAAGCTTTATTGGATTTCTACAAAAGTTCATGAGAAGAAAGCTGGTTTTATTAAGGACAAAATGGGGACACTAAGGTCATAATTCTTACTGCAGCAGAAGTTCCATAAATGAATCATCTCTTCTGAGACTTTTAATGCAAATGGAGGCAAAAAAGACACAAAGATATAAGTTGATCAGATGCTTCTTCAGAAATGAAAGCTTGATAGCATAAGTTGCTACACTGATATCTGAGGTAAACCCTGGAAATGAATGATCAAGTGGAAGAAGATTGAATTCACCACTTTAGAGTCAAACGAATATTGAATCAATATTCATACATTCATAAGAACATCATTTGCATAATAGAAAGGCATTACATTGATACATTTGATTGCATTCAAACACAAGGTTTTTACAGGTCTTCGTATGAAAAAAGAAGATTCATGATGACAAATACCTTACAAATGGAAGGTAGAATTCAAATCCCAAATGCATGAATCACGTTAGGAGAAGTAAACATCTAAAGAATAGATAGAGGCAATCCACAGAGAAAACATTATTTTTTTGGGCATGTTACCCAATCAACAAGTTGTTTTGGAAAATGAGAATTTTTTTCCAAAGTTTCTCATTTAATCTTTTCTAAAAATGAAATTTTTGAAAGTAAGAAGCTTCTTACCCAGTAAATTATTTCCCAAAAATTTGTAAATCCTTCGGGTCATCTGTAAGTCTTTAGAGCATGATGTCTAAATCATTCGGGTCATCTGTTAGTCTTTCGAGCAAGATGATAAGTCCTTAGGGCATCCGTCAAACCTTTGGGTAGGATGTTTACATATGATTTTCGCATGAAAATGAGAAAGCGATTTTTTAAGTTTCTCATTTAATGTTCTAAAAAATGAAATTTTTGAAAAGTAAGAAGTTTCTTACCCAGTAAATTATTTCCCACAAATTTGTAAATTCTTCGGGTCATCTGTAAGTCTTTAGAGCATGATGTCTAAATCCTTCGAGTCATCTGTTAGTCTTTCAAGCAAGATGATAAGTCCTTAGGGCCATACGTCAAACCTTTGGGTAGGATGTTTACATGTGATTTTCACATGAAAATGAGAAAGCGATTTTTGAAATTTCTCATTTAATGTTCTATAAAATGCAATTTTTGAAAAGTAAGAAGTTTCTTACCTAGTAAATTATCTCCAAAAAATTTGTAAATCCTTCGGGTCATCTGTCAGTCTTTCGAGCATGATGCTTAAATCCTTCGGGTCATCTATAAGCCTTTCGAGCCAGATGACAAGTCCTTAGGGTCATCCGTCAAACCTTTGGGTAGGATGTTTACATATGATTTTCGCATGAAAATGAGAAAGCAATTTTCAAAATTTCTCATTTAATGTTTTAGAAAATGAAATTTTTGAAAAGTAAAAAGTTTCTTACCTAGTAAATTATTTCCCACAAATTTGTAAATCCTTCGGGTCATTTGTCAATCTTTCGAGCCAAATGTTTAAATCCTTAGGGTCATTTATTAGTCTTTCAAGCAAAATGAATAAGTCCTTAGGGCCATCTGTAAGACCTTCAGGCAGGATGTTTTTACTCTTTATTGATTTCCTAAGAAAGAGTGGACAAAAAATTATTGTCTTTTTATCTTTGCCCTATTCTTGTTGACACAAGAATGAGCAAAGAGGGGCAGCTGTCGACACTAGTTTTTATCCCGTTCTCGTTACTAATTATATTTATTATTAATACTATTATTATTATTATATTATTATTATTACAAATAAACAATAAAAATGAAGGCCCAGTTACATCAATTTTGGTGGCCCAAATAATACAACAAACTTGGAGCCCATTTTACAAGATCAACCTGGTCTAGGCCCAGACCTGGTTTAAGCCCAGATGGCCCAAACCCGATTAGGGTTTTCACATCTCATCTCAACCACCATCATCTACAACTATTAGATCTGGAGAGATCCAATGGCCTAGATTCGTACAACAGAAACCCTAGGGTTTCACTAACCCTAGGGGATATTTTGGCCGCTGTCTCCAGGTGCCCCAACTGGTGACTGCCACGACGCCGCCGCCTCCAACAGAAGGATCCAAAAGAAACAAGGAGAACCGCACACCTCGCCCTATGGTGAGTCACCATTGTAGATTCGGTGACTCACCAAAATGAACAATGGTCCAAGATCTTTCGAGGGCTATAAAAAGCCTTGATTTCCCTATAAAAAAGGGAAGGGGATGAATGGCAAGAACGGGAGGAGAGCAAACAACACCAACGAGCAATAAACGAACCAAAAGGAGGAGAAAAAAAGGAGATCTTACCTTCATCGAAACCTAAACGTCGTCGGAAAAGTTGTTTTACCGAAGGTAAAATCTTAGATCTAGGTTGTTTTAAAGTTTTTTAGAAAAAAGGAAGGTGGTTTCGGGTGTTTCGATCTACGTTTTGAGCTATTTTGATTTTTTTTGATCGTGAATAGTGATCGAAATAGTGACCGCCGTCGTGAATAGTAACGGGCGGTGGCCGAAATATTGACCGGAATAGTGACTGATCGGTTCGGAGTTCCCTCTGACTGATTATAAGAGAAGCAAAATTGAGAAAATGAGTAGAATTGGCTATTTTGAGCTAAATTTGGCTTATTTATACCCAAGTACGTCGTTTGGAGAGGGAATGTGTGTGTAATTTTAAGATTGATAAATCACGTCCATGATCCCCATGTTATGTAATTTTTCATTATAGTCACCAAATTCAGGTTTCTATATCTTTTAATTTTGTTTTCGTATTTTAGTTATTTTTATTTTAGTCACTACCCGTATATATACATATATATAAATAATATTTTAGGATTATTTACACTTTTAATATATATATTTTTATAATATTTCGAATTATAACCAATAATTTATATATTTTTTAATTTAATCCTATATTATTATTTTGGTTATTATTTAATTGCAACTTTACTTTATTTTTATTATTACCTTTTATGTTTAAATATTTTAAATCTAATATTTATTTATTATTTTTATTACATATATATATCCTAATAATATATATAAATGTTTAACATATACTAATGTTCACTAAAAATAATGACTAATTAAAATAATAATAAAAACCCATAGTGCTATTATTATTAATGAAAAGGTAGAAGCATTATAATTAAAATAATAATAAAAACTAATAGTGCTATCATTATTAATAAAAAGATAGAAGCATCATAATTAAAATAATAATAAAAACCCATAGTACTATCACATATGTATATTATAATATATACTAATGTTCACTAGTTTTTTTTATATTTAAATTCCACGTTTTTTATTAATTATAATAATTTTAATTTTGGTTTTTTTAAATATTTATTTTATTTCTTAACTTTTTTTAAAAAATAATCATAATATCTTATGCTAATTAATTTAATTAATTTTATAATTTAATTAAAGAATAATATTTATTTAGTTTTTTAATATATAACCATTAAAATTTCTTCACATTTACTTCATATAGCATTAATTGCATTGTATATATATGTGTTTATACTGTATATACGTTTGTATTTATTGCTTAGAATTAAAATTTTTAATTTGTTTTATATGCATGTTATTTGTTCCTTCATGTATATATATTTGAAGCATTTATTCATAAATAGATTTTGACATAAACATTAAACTCGAATCAAAATAATTTGATTAAGAATAATATTCGATCATTTTAATATTGTCGTAAAGTAACTGTCTTAACGTATAAGAAAGTTATTTTCGATAATTTTAAAACGAAAGTCTATCCTGTTAAGTGACACCTATTAAATTGAATTCATTTTTAAAATTAAGGGATTGAGAAAAAGATCGTATTCTTTTAATTAAATTCATCAAGAAAAGACTGTTAGATCGAATCTATGGTCTCGTCTTGCGATATTTAATTAGTTGAATATCCATTTTCTCATTAAATGTTGGTAAAATAAATAATTAATCAATTGTTTGATATGTTTATTTATTTATTTATTTATTTAACTTTGGCATGTGTTTTCAAAGGTTTTTTAAAAATAGTAATGTTCGATCTGAAATAATTAAATATTATTGTTTTCAATCTTAACATTATTTTAGATATTATTATTTTGAAATTTAGAATGTAATTCCAATTTTTCTTTATTTAAGTAAGAATCGATTGCTTCAAGGTATGATAGATCGATTCTTCTCGATAGGAAATAATTAAATATTTTTATCTTTCATCCAAAATTTCAAAGAACATTATTCTAGGGGATCTTAAATTAAGTTAAACTCGAACTTGTACATTTTATTGCAAAGACAATTAATTAATCGACTATGTACCGATTTAGGGCGTTGTGGGGTGCTAATCCTTCCCCACACGTAATCGACTCCCGAACTCAAATTTGGTAACGCAGACCCCAAGTTTATCTTTTTAATTAAAATTAATATTTTATTAAAATAATAAATTTATTTTTGGGTGCCCAATCACACCCTAATCAAATATTGATGGCGACTCCGCGAACCACGTTCTTATCACAAATTTATCACTAAAATCATTTTCGAAGCGGGACCACCTCTTTCCCCATCGGGTCAGAGACCGTTTCGACAGCTTGACGACTCCACTGAAGACCTTTTTTTAGAGAGTCAGATCATTAGTCGATTAATAAATTATTTTTACAAATAAAATTGCAAGTTCGTTCTAATTTGGTTTTTGATCTAATTTTGTTTGCATTTTGACTCTTAATTTGCTTAACCAATAAACAGTTTTGTTTGCAAGTTTGTCTTTTTAATTAAAATTAGTATTTCAGGGAATGACTTTCTTTGCACTTCTTCGTATGAACAAAGTTGCACTGGCGTTTTAAAACCATTAAATGGTATGCTGATGAATCTATTGAACTGATCTCATTTTGCCATGATTCGCTTCACTGGTACCAATATAACATGTTTGATCATCTAATGGCAGGCTCAGTTTCATCTTCTAGAACCTGTGGATACCACCGTTGGGGGTTGTCTGTTGCCATAGCAATCAGTTCCGGGTTTGTGGTTTCTTTGGTTCTGCTTGTTGGTTGGGTGCATTGGCACCGATCTCGTATTTTGGGAACATCATATGGTACTGCCGAATCTCAATGTATTGCCCTTGGAGCTGCCCGTGGACTTCTGTATTTACATGAGCAGTGTAATCTGAAAATTATTCACAGGAATGTGAAAGCTGCAAATATTTTGCTTGACGAAAGTTTCGAAGCTGTGGTAGGGATTTTGATCTTGCTAAGCTCTTAGATAAAAGGGAATCGCATGTCACCACTGCTGTGCGGGGTACCGTAGGACACATTGTCCCAGAGTATCTTTCAACTGGGCAGTCTTCAGAAAAAACAGATGTATTTGGATTTGGCATGCTACTCTTGGAATTCATCACAGGACAAAAGACATTAGATGCTGGGAATGGACAGGTTCAAAAGGGAATGATTCTTGACTGGGTAAGTAATTATCGAGGCTGTCGAAGCATGCATCTTTGTCGCTGCCTGTTCAAGTGCATTCATTTCTTAGAGGAAGCGATAGATTCCTTACGCTTGCAGAAAACATTGTAAATCATACTTCAGGTTTTAAAGTAATTCGTGTGATCGTTGACACAATGGATGTTGTCCTTGTTATAACAACAGCCGGCAATAACTCGTGTCTTTCGGGCTGTGATGCTATTTTTCTCCTGCATCTATTTGTCCGTGTTTAATTTTGAAGATATCCTATGATTGATGCAGGTTAGAACATTGCATGAGGAGAAGAGATTTGAAGTGCTAGTGGAAAGGGATTTGAGGGGATGTTTTGATCCAATAGAGTTGGAAAAAAAAGCAGAACTGGCTATTCAGTGTACTCTGTCGCAACCCCACCTTCGTCCAAAGATGTCTGAAGTTTTAAAGGTCCTTGAAGGTCTTGTGCAGTCGGGAACCGAGGAATCACAAGGTGGGTCAAACCTTTCTGAGACTAGGGAGTGGAGGTTCTCCAGGAATTATAGCGACATTCATGAAGAGTCTCCCTTCATCATTGAAGCAATGGAGCTTTCCGGACCTCAGTGATCGGAAGTACAATATGCCCCATTCCCATCTGTCTGTAACCGGTCGTTGCACCCGAGAGCTCGTATTTATACATTATTCTTTTGGCCCTACTGTCACTGGGGAATTGTAAGGTCCAGAGTCATATTAAGGGACTCTCTTAGAATTACTTAAGATGTCAAGGGACACAAAAGAGCACGACTCAATTTACCTCGGTAGTTAAATGAATCGTTATTATTCTTAAGTATTATGTGTTCGATCTTCAGTGATTACAACAGAATGATTAAGGTTCATTATCAAATGGATGAGAATATTTAGAACATATACTATTTTTATAATCACGTCAAAAAGACATAAAACCTCAAATTATGAATTTAATCAATTGTTTTCTTTTTGTCTAAATCAGCATAAACACCCACTTTGCGGGTTGTCAATAACAATATATGTTCTTCAGTCGATTAGACAAGACCTTTGCCTTTAAATTGGTTCTGATTCAAACTTCGAGTAACTATTTTGGGCCCAAAAATGAAAGTGCACATGTAACAGAAATAAAACCCTAGCCCTAAACTCTCACCCCATTCGTTTTTAAACTCCAATCTCTACAAGCAGGTGTCTTCTTTGTCTGTACGCCGCTGCTCCCAAACTAGTGTACTTCACCATGGTACCTCTCTTTCTCTCAACCTCATTTCTTGGTTCACTCATCTTTTCCTCTATGTCTAATTGACTTTTTCTAATGTTAATTCTTTTTATGACTATGAAAGGCATCAGAGAAGAAGCTATCGAACCCAATGAGGGAGATTAAAGTCCAAAAGCTTGTCCTCAACATCTCTGTCGGTGAAAGCGGGGATCGTCTCACACGTGCCGCCAAGGTAATCAACCCAAACCCGAAAAGTGAAACCTTTTTCCTTCTTTTTTGAATGGTTTAATTAATATTAGTTTGATCCATCTTGCTCTTGTTTAGGTTTTGGAACAACTTAGCGGTCAAACCCCTGTCTTTTCCAAGGGTAACATTTTTCAACGAAATGATTCCGTTTTAGTTTCCTTTTCTGGTTGGATTGTGTTGTTGATGAAACTCGAAATGTGGGTTGGATGTGAGCAGCTAGGTACACTGTTAGATCATTTGGAATCAGGCGTAATGAAAAGATTGCGTGCTATGTTACTGTTAGAGGAGAGAAGGCTATGCAGCTTCTTGAGAGCGGCTTGAAGGTTAAGGAGTATGAACTTTTGAGGAGAAACTTCAGTGATACTGGATGCTTTGGATTCGGTATCCAGGAGCACATTGATCTCGGTATCAAGTATGTTCTTATTGTGTCTCTTTATCAAATTTTGTGTTCCAATTGGAGTTTCTACGTTTGTAACGCTTTTTGGAGACTCGTGTTTGAAACTCTATGATTGAAATTGAAGGAATATAACAGGACAGTGTTCTGAGTTTTTTCATAGGTTTGGATCTTTTGTTGTTATTTGAACTTAAATGGCAAAGCATTTGCTTTTATCTTGCAATGATTTATAGGTTGGGCTTGGGTTAGGAGTAGGGTTGATTAAAACTCAACTTGACTAAAAAAATTTTAAATTTGAGTTGAGTTATAAAAGAGTACTCGAATAACTTGAATTTTTTTGTTTGAACTCGATCGAATACTTGCTGCTAGTTAGGATGTAAGAATGGTGGTATATGAAATAGCAATGCAACTTTTAGCTGGGTTTAGTTGTTTAAAGGTTTGTTGTATCGTGGTTTGAAAACTAGCTTAACCCCAATTTAGTTAGTCTTAGAATTACTTGAACCTGGTTGGGATGACTGGGAACTTGTGGATATCTGTGCTTATATTCTCACTGATAAATTCATTATGTTGCAACTTGCATTCAATATTGATGCTATATATTCCATGAAGGAATAAATTACAAGTTTACAACTCTTGTCGTCTTTCTAGGTATGACCCTTCGACTGGTATCTATGGTATGGACTTCTATGTTGTCCTCGAACGTGCTGGATACCGTGTTGGTCGTCGTCGCAGGTGCAAGTCTCGTGTTGGAATCCAACACCGAGTTACCAAGGAGGATGCCATGAAGTGGTTCCAGGTCAAATATGAAGGTGTCATCCTTAACAAGTCTCAAAATATTGGAGCTTAGGAATAACAGTTACGGTTGAGTTGTTTTGAGTTTTTGTTATTTGATTTTGAATTATTTTCTGTATCAGTGTTTTTGTTTTCGGAAGAGATGTGGTTGATTTGAAAATCCAAAGTACCTTCTCTGTTGGTTTAATAACTCAATTAATATATATCCAATTGGAGAATGACTGTCTTTACCAGTTTTTTGAATTGGAACTGCTGAAAATAAAAATGAAGGATCAGCACTATTTGTCTACTGGAAAAGGGGTAAAACCTAGTTGCTTTTCTCTAATGGAATCAATAATTGAAGAAGTTCACACTTACTCAATTTGGAGTAACCCTTGATTCCTCTGGCTTTTGCTAGTTCTTTCAACTTTGAAAGCTTCAGTTTCTCAATGTTTGCTGATGCCGACCCCTCGGTTGTAGGTACCGCTTCAAAGTTCTCAGGAGTCCTTGTTCTTGGGGCTGTTGGGTGTAGAATTGGTGACTTTTTCATAAAATTAGATGGTGGCCTTGATAAATTGAAATCCTTATTTAGTTTCTCTATGTTTACCAACTCTGATCCCTGTCAGTCGCCATTGATCCAATGTTCCACTCAGGAGTTTTGGTTGTGGAATTGGCTGCCACTGATTCAATTTTCCACTCAGGAGTCTGTTCTAGGGGCTGTTGGGTGCGGAATTGGCGATTTCTTCATAAAATTAGAAGGGGACCTTGATAAATTGAATTCGTCCATTTCAGCAGGAGCCTTCTCCTTAGCTTGCCTTTTCTTAGGGTTGCCACTTCTCCATCTCAATGCCTTGGTTCCAGTGTCTGCAAAATCTGTAAAATTCGTCAGTTTTGGCCGTTAACATGTTGACATGTTTGTTGGTAGTATTAATACTTTTAAAACTCTATGGAATTGCACAACCTAACAGTGTTACCTTGTAGGTTATTTCCTGATTTGTGAAGAACATCCATAACTGATTCGGTTGGGACTTGCCATTTGATGAGTTGAAACTTTTATTTTAGCCCTCTGAGTCTCGGGCAATTGAAGATTGTATCTTTCTAAACAAAGCAACTATCTCTTCCCGACTGGATGAGTCGGGTGGTTTAATGCCATTACTCGATTCTTCGCTTTCATCATTCTTTCTTCCTAAGGCATAGGTAAAACCTTTCCTACAACGGCTTCCTTTTGTGTTACCATCAGATTCTATGCTTGAAATACTTGGCTTATGCGAGTTAAAGGGCATGGATTATCTGCATTCTCTGCCAAATTAATATGCTGCATCAAGAGATCATCCCTCAGATTCATGTGCTCATATATGAAGAACATAACGCCACTTCCTTCAATAAACTAACAAAGTAATGAAACAGTATGCGAACCAACATGGCAAGGTTATTGCTTTCAAGCACAAAATATCCATCTCTTCCTATGGCTGACTTCAAATGTTTATTGTCATATAGCAGAATCTTCGAATGTAATGGGGAGATGTGTTTTAAGAGGAATATGAAATGTTGAAAAGCCATGGCCGAAGATGATTACCTGTGAGAGAGAGAACAGGGTTTCCCAGCTTGAGTAATTGTCTGTTGAAAGGGAAAGAATAAGCTTAATGAGATGGAGATTGAAACTAAAGAGCAGCAGTAGCAGCAGCCATGTTTCGTTTGCAAAGCCTTCCGGATTCCAAATGCAATTGTATCACAAACTATATACTGCAAATCATTCTGTTTTTTTCCCTAAAGTTGCTAGTCCACACTTTTTCAGGAGCGTGCACATCACATACCAAACGGATTATCTAACTGTTGGCTTCTATGGTTGAAATTTTCCTAGGACCGTGGCTGAAACGGCACTAAACTTGTCTCTTTTGCCTCTAAATCGAAACACCTTTTAAGAGAAAATTCAAATCCAACAATGGTTTCTTTATCCATGACCATTCTTCAAAAAAGTAACACTTTCTGTCTCCATTCTTGAGTTCTTGCTGTACTCCACCAACAAAAACCATTGACTACCAGGTTACAGATTACAATGTCAAAAACAGTCAATTCTGTCAAATGGGTAATCTTCACAATGACCATGGGATTTGCTTTGCGTGTCTCAAGAATATGAGGGCTCAAAGGTTCTATCTTTTTAGGCACCTTGTGGATCTTTAGACCAAGGTAAACAATGAATATCCAAGACAGTCAATTAAGTAACTGAGAATGAATAAACAAGATTTTGTATAATTCAATACACAAAGGGGTTTGAATATTCCATTCCTTCGTAGGAACTAGGGACTTGTGGATATCTGGAAAAGGGCATTTTATTGGGAATAAGACTGCAGATATATAGGGTCATACAACTTTGGCATTTGGGGCTAACCCTCAAAAAGTACCTTAACGTTACTTTTTGTCTAAAAAGTTCATATACACAACAATGGAATAGAGGGGTAAGAACCCATTGATTCATTGGAACAAGGCAGCACCGGCAGGCAGGGTGTTTTTTTAATGGTATGGGCTTCACATTTGTACTTTACCATACCCTTTGCTCTTTGGTTTTTGGTGATGGAGAGAAAAACAACACAAAGGCTCATAACAATGGCAGTATACTGTAAAAGTATTGTTTCCACTCGATCTATTTTTGATGGAGGTTGAATAAATAATGACTATAATGATTAGTATCACTTGGTTTCTCGATCAACAGGGTTTCATCACATGCCTTCCTTCAAGAGCTTTCTTGATTTGCATTTCTCCAAAATCTCAAGAAAGATGATATAAAAAGAAAAGCTTGCCATGTATAGGAATGGAAAGCTGCTAGCTTTGGTAGAGGGGCCATTGCTAGACCAAAGTACAAAAGGGAAGATTTGGTATGATAGATCCATGGAACCTCAAAATTTAAGGCTTCATCAAGCCATAAACTATTGCAGGATCCATCGAACAGTTTAATCCTTTCCTAATGAGTTGTCATTGTTACCCTAATAATAATTTAACACCTATAAGTTCATCCACCATCACCAACTTGGCTTGTAGTGTTGATCTGAGTCAGGGATTCAAATAGCGGCCAGATAGTGTTATAACAGTGCTATATCGTGGTCGCGGTGGCATCCTAGATCGCTATCGCGGAAAATAGCGGTGTGAAGAGGAATCACATCAATAATCACGGGTCGCAATTTAACGGATAGCGGACAATCGCGGTAATAGCGGACCGCTATTCAACTATTTTTTCGCTATTTTATTTTTAAAAAACCAGTTTTTTTAATAAAAAAATCAAATCATTTGGAAAAAATTCATGACCGCAATACCCGTAATGATTCCAATTATATCCGCAACAACGATAAACACAACGCGACTGAAAACATGACCGCAACCACCATTTAAATCCCCGCTTGTACTCATTATGTCTTTCACAATAGCAAATAAATTATCCAACTATGTTACTTCTTGTTGTACCACCTCTGGATTGCTTCCGCTAACCGTGTTTATGCAGCCATTATCCACCTCTCACATGGTCTCCGGAATTTCTAGAAATCTACCGAGTACCATATATTCTTGATAGTTAGAGTACTTTAGTTAACCGTTGTTTAATTCCATCACAACTAAATCCATTATATGATAGTTATCTACTTACCTTACCGACCTACAAATAATCACCGTCACTCTAAGTATGACACAATCACATCTCTTCCATCAACACTTCTATTACTTAGATTTGAGTGCAAGTATAGAAAATAAATATATATGGTATAATCAGGTCTTTTGAAAATTTTTATATATTTAAAGAATACTTTGAAGGCTATAGAGTCAAAACATAATTGACTAACCGGCGTACCTACGTTACCAAAGACAATGGTATATTACCTTTTCAGTCAGCACCCTATGAAGGATAACCTAAGAAGTAAAGCACAATGAATTACCAGAACGGATAAAACTGTGAAAATGGTGTGAAAACTACAAATGTGTGAAGATCAAGAAGAAGAAGAACAAAATACAGTAATTACTTTGCATTGCCCTCACTTCATACAACCATTCAATGACCAAGAAGAAAGCAGTAAAAAGTATCACACCTGTTCAAGCTGATTCGCCCTCCCCCTCCTCGAAGTTCCACCAAGTGTATCGGATATCGATGACGAATAATATGGAAATGCTAATCACCAATTACCTCTATTCTACGAAGAACCTAACCAATAATCAAAAGTACTTTTCCCCCTCTTTCAACCACACCATTTTGAGAGAAGAACCAAGAGAACAATGAGGAAGACAATCGAGGACAGTCCAATTGCTACACCAAGAACAATCTTGTTTGGCCCGTGATGATGTTCCTTTTTCTAACTTGTATGTCAGCACTACCACTGTCGTCGTCGTCATAATCCGAAGACTCACTCTCATTGTCTCTGGAAGACTCCTTGAAAGGCGACGGTGATACCGGCAAACCATGCTTATCACAAGGAACAATCCCAAGGTTCATTTTTGATGAAAAAACAGAGTGATTGTAACACAGATTTCCATTCCCACCAAGCTTGACAACATCCAATCTCTTTATGAAACTAGCATTGAAAGGCAACACCCCATGAAGCTCGTTATTCTCAAGGTTCAACACTTTCAGCCCTTTCAACTCTGAGAAAAACTTTGGAACTGTCCCGTTTAGCTGGTTGTTACTCATATCAACATGAACCAAGCCTGGAATAGCTGACATGGAATCTGGGATTGACCCAGAAATGAATTGGAAGCCAAAGGCACAATCTTCAACGATGTCAAGTCGCCAAACTCGGTGGGAATCACCCCATGTAGCTTATTTGAAGAAAGATTCAAGACTTCAAGGTCTTCCAGAAACGTAAGGGAAGTTGGTATCTTTCCTTTGAGCTTGTTGTTGGATAAATCAACATGAGTAAGATTCAGAAGCTGGTGCCTCGGAAGGGAACCGGAAAGATTTGCGGGAGAAATGGTGAGAGTCTTCAGCTTATGCATGTTCCCGAGGATTACATTAAGTCCCCGAGTGTTGATCGGAGTGTAGGAAACTGTGAGATCAGCGAGGTTAACGAAACGCGAGAGCCAGACGCCGGTGAGGCGGTGGAGGGAGTGAATGCAAGAGAAGGAAGTCAAGGAAAGAGAGAGATCGGAAGGAAAGCAGACAGGGGATGCGTGACAGCTGGTGAAGGGAGAGAAGAGAGGGAAGAGAGTGACTTGAGAGCTGTGGAGGTGAGGGAAAGGTTGGAGGAGCAGTTGGAGAGGTGGAGGAAGATGAGGTGGCGGAAAGGCTTGGAGGTGTCACAGACGGTGGCGTTGTGAGGGGAAGGTTGAACGCAAGGGTCTCTTGCGGTGGGGATGTTGAGGGATTCGAGAGCCCGTATTTGTTTGGGGTCTAGAGGAGGGAGTTTTGGTGGTGGGTGGAGTAGGGGAGAACGTGGGGGTGGCTGGTTTGGTTGCATTTGCGGTGGAAGCGGAGGAGGAGGTGGTGGTGATGGAAAGAAGAAAGAGGAGGTGGAGGAGGAAGAATGACGACGGTGTTTTCATGTGGGAGAAAGAGTGTGTGAGAGAGTGGAAGCAAAGGGAGAAGACAATACATATAGAAGAGAGGAGTTAAGGAGGGAGGAAGGGTGGGGTTTGACGGTTCGTGAAGACCTTGCTGATTACGACTTATGATCAATGTTCAGGTTATCGACTTTCCTTTAAATAAAAATATTTCTATAATGTCTAAACATTATACTCGCAAAATCAACGAGATAATGCGTTGAATTTTTTTTTTTCACGAGATAGTGCCATCGACAGATTAATTGCTCAGATAGTGCCCTCTACAGTCCCGGGGGTAGGTCGCCATGCACACCCAGCGACCTACGTAGGTCGCCAAAGGTCGCCATGCAGTCCATGCTTGGCCTGAACAATGTTGGTGGTTTAGACATGGCCCTTTCCTTCTACCCTGAGTGTGCAAATGATCCCATGTCTCATTACAAATTCGTCCTCGCAATTGAAGCATTTGCCAAGCATGGATTGAATGGAGTCTCTGCATGGCTGTGCATGGCGGAATGACAACGTGGCATGGGTCTGGGCAAGGTTGGAGTCTCTGCATGTCAACGTGGCATGGGTCTGGGCGAGGTTGGAGTCTCTGCATGGCTGTGCATGGCAGCATGCATGACTGAAAAACTACTCCGATCTCATTTTCTATAATCTATCCATTATAATGGACAATCGTGAAAAAGTTGTTGCTCATTTCCTTTCCTTTCCTTTCCTTTATTGTTTCTTTCTTCGAATCAATATGTACGTGGAAAAATGTTGTGGAATAATGCTCTGTACGTGTAAAAAAATAATTTCTTTAAACAACAATAAATTAAAAAAATTAAATTTATATAATCTAATATATTATAATATAACTTAAACTAATAAACTATTTCTTTATTATAATATAATTTAGTTAAAATAACAAACTAACAAACTAATTAAGCACTAATTAACTTTTTTAATATTTTAACTTAAACTTCAACAAACAACCTAATATACGTTTAAACACACTAATAAATTAATTAAATATTTTTTACATTTAATAACTTAAACTAAGAAACTAATTAACTAATTTTTTATATAATCTAATATATAACTTAAACTAACAAATTAATATAATATAACTTAAACTAACAAACTAATCATTTATACTAACAAACTAATTAACTAAATTTCTGTTTTATCCTAAACCCTAAACTAACAAACTAATTATTTCATAATTTCATATTAATAAACTAAATTAAACAATTAAAAATTACCTCACGAACATGTTTGAGCCTTTATCTCCATTTCATCTTCTTCTTATTTTCCTTTTATTTCCTTTCTCTCGCCAAATTTTCTTTCTTTCTTATGATTCTACCCTAAACCCCTCATATCCAATATATAATGATCTTTCAACGGTTGGTAAGCTGCAATCAATTTGAGCTGTATAATTCACGTTGAAGGCTGTAAATTTTTCAACCATTGAACGCTGCAATAATACAACACTAATTACTGCATGCAACAGCTGATTTTATGCTGCACCAATACAGCTATGATAACAAGAGTGGACAGTCTCGAAGCTATGGCATGAGGGAGCAGCTATGGCTCGAAGCTAGGGCACGAAGCTATCACACTTTGCAGCTCAAATCATGCTGCAATAATACAGCTATTACAGCTGCATGCATGAGGTCTCCTGAGCAGATGTAAGAGGAATCACGCGAGGAGCAGGAGGAATAGGTTCTCCTGAGCAGCTGCAAGTGGAATCAGATGCGAAGAGAGGATTGTATGGCTACCTATCCTGCATGGCCCAACGTTGGACGCCGGCATGCATGGCGACCTATAAGGTCGCTGGGCGTACATGGCGACCTACCATCTTGGTCGCCGGGATTGCTTGGCGACCTACAAGGTCGCTGGGAGTGCATGGCGACCTTGTAGGTCGCTTGGAGTGCTTGGCGACCTATGGTTGGGTTGTGCATGTCCCATGCACGACACGATCCTCGTCGGAAGCCACGTCGTAGGTCGCCCGGAAGGCATGGCGACCTACGGCCAACTGTGCAATTCACCCTACTTCATCAATTAATCTTGGGAGAACGTTATTTCGTGAATTATTTATTTCCAAAGCATTATATCGTGAGTTTAGCCCCTTATAATATGATATTATTTTGTTGAATCTTACAACTATTAAAGGTTATAAAATAGTCACTCGACTATTTATATATATTATAAACTCATCGTTCTCTATTAAAAATTTGATGATCATATGAACTTGATGTTAACATATTGACTAAGATATGATAAAATTTGATATCATAACTATTTGAGTTGTATTTTGTGGATCGACACTCTATTTACATTATGTCGTTGAGTTAGTGCTTGAAACATTGTATCGCCGAGCTAATGATTGAAAGCAACAACAATGCTAGTAGACATCATTAAAATATGATTTTATCATATCTTAGTCAGCTGGTTAACGTACAACTCAGATGACTGTCAATTTTTAAACATATGAATAGTCGATTGATCATTTGGTAACTTTTAATAGTCGAGGGACTTAACAAAATAATTTCTTATAGTGAAGGATTATTTTGTAACTTTTAATAGTTGAGAGATTCGATAAAGTAACAACCTATAGTTAGGGGACCTTTTACAGAATTTATCCTTTTGTCATTTATGACTTGAAGGTTAATACACGTTATTTTAAGGATTCTGTATAAAATAAAAATAGTTCTTTATAATTTGAAGAGTTAATTGCATCACACTACTCAAATTATGATCTCCATTTTAAATAAGTTCTTAAACTTTTAATTATTTCAATTTTATCTTTAGACTATGACTTTCTTTCTAAATTACTCTTCAAACTTTTGAACATTTCAATTTCATCTCCAAACTATGATCTTCATTCTAAATTACTCCCCAAACTTTTTTAAAATTTCAATTTCATCCCAAACTATACGTATATACTAATCGCATCCCTTGTTAATAAAATCGTTAGGCCAATTCATAAATAAAAAAATATATAAGATTTTAATGTCATTCAAGCATGATTCACATTTGTTTAAATGATATTGGAAACTTAAATGATAATTTCTAGCAATATATGTTACACGTGTTATTTGAAGCTTTTAAAGGAGAAATCTGAGAGAATTTTTCCAAGGTTAGAGGCAAGAATAAATTAGTGGAGTGAAGTTGGGAAAGCACTCACTTTTTGATGATTTTTAAGCTTTAAGTTTTGGTGACTACCATTCTATGACTACATTTTAAATTAATGAATAATTAGGGCTTGTGAAATTAATAAATTAATGAATATTCAAGTTGCAGCTGAGTTGTCCGTGTTTATTTTCAAAGAACACCCTTAAAAGGATTTTTTTTGAAAGAAGCGAAGAACTTATTCGTTAAGAATTTGTGTTAATGTGGAGCTTTTTAAAGGTTATAACACAAATTTATTTGATCTAACCTGTGGTCTAACTCAATTGATGAAGATATAAAATAAAAGTAAAATTGAGGATGAAGAACTTAAGCTCGGTGAATTGTCGCACGTTGTTGTTTCTTCGGCAGAGGCAGCTAAAGAAGTGTTGAACACGCATGATATAAAGTTTGCCAACAGGCCTTATCTCCTTGCTGCAGAAATCATACTGTATGATGGTTCGGATATCGCTTTTGCTCCCTACGGAGCTTCTTGGAGGCAGCTTCGAAAGTTTTGCACATTGGAGCTGTTGAGTAAGCAACGTGTGCAATCATTCCGACCGATCAGAGAAAAGGAGGTATCGAATTTGGTTAGTTCCATCTTGTCTAATAAAGGATTAGAAATCAACCTTGGGGAAATGTTGTTCGACTTATCGTATAACATCACTCTGATGACTACTTTCACAGGGTGATGCAAGCAATACGAAGCGTTCCTTTCGATTCTGCAGAAAGTTACGCAACTCGGATCCGGTTTTAGTATCGTCGATATGTTTCCTTCCGTCAAATTACTTCATGTGATCACAGGGATGAGAGCTAAACTCGAGAGGTTGCACCACGATCTAGACGCGATGCTCGAAAGCATCATCGAAGAACACAGAGCTTATAACGCGAGATCGAAGAAGACTGACGATGAAATAGATGATCTAGTTGATGTTCTCTTGAATCTGCAGGATCATGGAGGCATCGAAGCTCCCTTAACAAAGGACAACATCAAAGCTGTTATCTTGGTCAGTAGTTTGATATCTCTTCTCTTTCTTGTTCATAAGATGTGTTAATTATGTACTTTAACGTATTAGAACTTGTTTTCAGGAACTTCTCCTGGATGGAACCGAGTCATCTTCGGTTATAATAGAATGGGCCATGTCGGAAATAATTAAAAACCCTACAATCTTGAAGAAAGCACAAACCGAGGTAAGACAAGTGTATGATAGAGCAGGGAATGTGGATGAATCGAAGCTTGACGAATTGAAGTATTTTAAACTAGTGGTTAAGGAGACTCTAAGATTACATCCTCCTGGACCTTTGCTACTTCCAAGAGAAAACAATGAGAAATGTGAGATCAATGGGTATGAAATACCAGCCAAGACAAAAGTGATCGTTAATGCATGGAAAATTGCAAGAGATCCCAAGTATTGGGATGAAGCTGAGAGGTTCAATCCAGAGAGATTCATCAACAGTTTAGTGGACTATAAAGGGACCAACTTCGAGTATATTCCCTTTGGTGCTGGAAGAAGAATTTGTCCTGGCATGTCATACGGTATGGTTATTGTTGAGCTCTGCCTTGCACAGTTGTTTCATTTTGATTGGGAACTCCCTAATGGGATCAAAAATGAGGATCTTGACATGTCCGAGTCCTTTGGTGTCTCCTTTAGAAGAAAAACAAATCTGCATCTCATTCCCATCCCTTACTCTCCACCATCTGTTCACTAGTTATATCATCCACGATTGCTTCTTAAAGCCTGTGAGGAGATTATCAGATCACATTTCACCAAGCAGGAGATGATTCCTATTCCTAAGTTTGTGTTTAAATGGAGTTTTCTAAATTGTACATTGTGAAGCGTGTTGAAAAGATTAATTTATGGCGTGTTTCGTTGGAGAAATGTAATGTTTCATGTAAGAGGATTTCAGGAAAATAAGATTACGGATGAGATGTATTGTTTTTGTACATTAGCTTGTTTGTTACATCCCCAAATCAATACCGTCATTTATCAGTTCTTCATACGCTCCGGTCACCGGTCGTTCTTCATTTCTTGTTACCAATGGCTGTTTTCTCATATGGTATCGTTTGTTAAAAGATCCTGACGCCGTTTTTTCTTCCACTGCTTCACTGTTGATTGACGATTGAGTTCCTTTCTCTCGTGCCTTTACTGTCACAACGAGATTGTTATTCCCCCGTCATTGTTGTTGTGGAATTCGGGTTAATTTCCACCAATAATAAAAAATTCACCTTGAAAACTATTATCTAGGTGACTAGTGTGAAAACGATTGTTCTAAAAATCACCCCAAGGTAGATTCCCATGAAAGAGGAGGGGTCACAATGGTCCCTCTTAAACCCACTTTCCTTAGACAAAACTACCAAGACAAGTAATTTTAATAGGACAATAATTAACAACAACTATACCCGATAATAGCTATTAAATAGACATAAAGAGAACACCAAAATTTAACGAGGTTAGGCCAAAATTATGCCTACGTCATCGAACACTGCTAAAATAATATTTCACTAATAGAGGAAATATTACAAAGAGAGAGAAATAATACAAATAACCTTTAATATAGAAGAAGTATTATATTTGTGGGATACAAAACTAAGGAGGAGGAGAGCTCTATTTATAACAAAAGAATTTCCCCTCCTCCTTATACACAACCAATGTGGGATTTTGCCAAAAACCAACAAATCTCCACCTTGGCAAATTCCACACACATATCTTAAAAATCCAATCTTCAGTAGTGTCTGCAAATTCATCTTTCAGTTTGTAACAATATTGACCAAGTCTAAACAATGTTTAAACTTGACTGTAGTTACCACTTTTGTCAATATATCAGCAGGATTCTCAGTGGTCCGAATCTTTTGGATTATGACTCCACATTCTTCTAGAATCTCTCGTACAAAGTGATATCGAACATCGATGTGCTTCGTCCTTGCATGGTAAACCTGGTTCTTTGCTAAATGAATAACACTCTGACTATCACAATGCACTTTGATGTGCTTCTGTTCCATTCCCAATTCACCAAGCAACCCTTGAAGCCAAATTGCCTCCTTCACAGCCTCTGTAACTGCCATACTCTGCTCTGTAGTAGACAAAGCCACTGTTAACTGTAAGGTGGACTTCCAACTGACTGGTGCCTTTACAAATGTAAACACATAACCAATAGTTGATTGACGCTTGTCCAAATCACCTGCATAGTCTGAATCACAATACCCAACTACACACTGACCATCTTGTTTGTCCTGCTGAAAGACTAAACCAACATCTACGGTGGTCAGAATATACCGCATAATCCACAGCTTGCCAATGCTCCTTTCCAGGATCATGCATATACCTGCTCACAACCCTAACTGCATGTGAAATATCGGGTCTCGTACATACCATTGCATACATCAAGCTACAAACATCACTTGCATACGGAACCTTTGACATGTATTCCCATTCTGCATCATCCTTAGGTGACATGGATGCACCGAGCTTGAAATGAGGAGCAAGAGGTGTACTAACTGGTTTTGACTTCTCATTCATGACAAAACGTTTTAGTACCTTCCTCAGATATTATTTCTGAGACAAACAAAGCCTCCCCAATTTATTATCCCTTGATATCTCCATGCCTAGAATCTTATTCGCTTCACCAAGATCCTTCATCTCAAACTCCCTGTTCAATTAAGTCTTTAGTTTCGCAATTTCTGTCTAACTCCTGGAAGCTATCAGCATATCATCAACATAAAGAAGAAGATATATATAGGATCCGTCTTGTAGCTTGCGTAAATACACACAATGATCATATTTACTTCTTGTGTACTTCTGCCCTATCATAAACTTGTCAAATCGCTTGTACCACTGCCTTGGAGATTACTTTAAACCGTACATCGAGTTTTCTAATTTACACAACATCTTTTCTTTTTCAGCAACTTTGAATCCATCTGGCTGAGTCATGTAGATTTCCTCATCCAAGTCTCCATGTAAAAATGCAGTTTTTACATCCATCTGAACTAGTTCCAAATCCAACTGCGCTACCAAAGCCAACAAAATTCTGATGGAGGAATGTTTTACAACTGGAGAAAATACTTCATTATAATCAACTCCCTCCGTTTGAGCGTAGCCTTTATCCACCAATCTTGCTTTGTAGCGGATGTTATTCTTGTCAGGAAATCGATATTTCTTTGCATATACCCACTTGCATCCAATTACTTTCTTTCCCTTCGGAAGACTAGCTAGTTTTCACGTCTGATTCTTTTGAAGGGATTCCATTTCTTCATTCATGGCGATCCTTCACCTTTTATGTTATGAACTTTGGACTGCTTCATTAAAAGTGGCAGGAACACCATCAATTGCAATTGGTGATGCAAAAGAGACCATATCAGCATAATGAACAGGTTGTCTAATGGTCATCTTTCCCTTTCTGAGTGCAATTGATTCATGTTGCTGTGGAGGTTCTTGGGTCTGAACCTCTTCTTCATCTGACTCTTCTTCTACCATAGGAGAGTCAACATCAGTTTCTTTACTGGCTGGGACAATTCTGCTTCCTTCAAACTCCACCTGTTTGGGAGTTCCATCTGTCTGCTCCAATTTTTCTAAAGTCACTTTTCTCACCATGGTAGATTCATTAAAGGTAACATCCCTGCTGAAGATTATTTTTTTTGTTTCTGGACACCAAAGACGATTGCCTTTCACACCATAGGTGATACCCATAAAGATTTCCTTCTTTGCTTTTGGATCCAGCTTTGACTCCTTAACATGGTAGTATGCAGTGGAGCCAAACACGTGTAAGGAATCATAATCTGTAGCAGGTTCTCCAAACCATTTCTCTAATGGTGTTTTACCACCAATAACAGTCGATGGTAAGCAGTTGACAAGGTGACAAGCATAAACCAAAGCCTCAGCCCAAAATTCTTTGCCTAACCCAGCATTAGACAACATACATCGAACCTTCTTCACTAATGTCTTGTTCATACGCTCTGCCACCCCATTGTGTTGTGGTGTAGATCTGCAGTGAAATGCCTGACAATACCTTCTTTTTCACAGATTTTCAGAAATGGATCATTTTTGTACTCTCCACCATTATCTGTACAGAGACGTTTGATTTTTCTGCCTGTTTGAGTCTCCACCATCTTTTTCCATTTAAGGAAAAATTCTAGCACCTCATCCTTTGTATTCATTGTATACACCCAAACTCTCCGGGAAAAATCATCAACAAAGGTAACATAATAGTGTGTTCCTCCCAATGAAGTTGTCTTGGAAGGCCCCCATACATATGAATGAACATAATCCAAAATACCTTTAGTATGATGGATTGCTATTCCAAATTTCACCCTCGTCTTCTTCCCTTTGATGCAATGCTCACAAAAATCTAATTTGCAAGCTCGAGCACCCTTCAATAATCCTTGATCTATCAGTAATTTCAAGGATTTTTCACCAACATGCCCCAAGCGCATATGCCATAACCTGGTTGCTTCTAACTCTTGTTCATCAGTAGAAGCTGCCACTGATGCTGTCCCAATAATTGTACTACCCAGAAAGTAATACACATTGTTTCTTTTTCGGATTCCTTTCATTATCACTAGTGCACCATAGATAATCCTCAAAATCCCATCTTTTTCCCTCACTTCTAAACCTTTTGACTCTAAGGTTCCCACAGAGATGAGATTTCTCATTAAATCTGGTACATAATGGACACCTGTTAAGGTTCTGATTGATCCATCTTGATTCCTCAATCGAATTGAACCAATCCCAAGTGTGTCAAGAGGGGAATTATTTGCTGTGTAGACAATTCCACCTTTTAGTTCTTTAAAATCAAAGAACCATTCTCTATTGTGGGTCATATGGTGGCTACAAGCTGAATCTAACAGCCATGAACTGGAACACTGGTTGATGGAGTAGCAGCGAATGCGAAATCTGATATGCATCATCATACAACCACATTTGATTCTAAGACAACCTTTCCTCTTTCAGGTTTGCCTTTATTCTTTAGCATGGGACATTCTTTCTTCCAGTGCCCTTTTTCTCGACAAAAGGCACATTCATCTTTGCTCAATGTGGACTTTGACTTCGATCTGCCTCTCATTCTTTTATTTTGACTCTTCGAACGACCTCTAACAACAAGAGCTTCTGCTTCGACACTTGTGTTTTCTTGTTTGTCTTTCTTTTTCAATTCATAACTATACAAGGCATCTGTTACTTCACTGAGACACATCAACCTTCCATGAAGTAGAGTAGTTTCAAGATACTCAAACTCATCAGGAAGTGATCCCATCAACATCAGATCCAATCTTCGTCTTCAAAAGTCACGTCCATATTCATCACATCAGTCACCAGCTGATTAAAACTAGTAATGTGATCATTCATAGTGGTACCTGGTAACTATTTGAAGCGGAACAATCTTTTTTCATGTAGAGCTGTTCTGACCTCTTTTCTTCAAAAATTTCTCCTCTAGTGCCTTCCACAATTTACTTGTAAAAGTTCCTTAGAAAATGCATACTTCTACTCTCTAGAAAGACACGATCGAATAGTACCACATGTCAATCTATTGATCCTCTTCCATTCTTTCTCCTCAACATCATTAGGTTTCTCTCCTTTAATAGCAATGTCTAGACCCTGCTGAAATAGGGCATCTAGAACCTTACTTTGCCACATGCCGAAATGACTGTTGCCATAAAAAATCTCCACTGCCAAATTGAAGATGAAGAAGTTGTTGACGACGATGTGGATGTTTTTTATGTCGTCTGCCATTTCTGCTACAAATTCTATTTAATAAATGTCAATGCGGAATGTCAATTAGCCCAAGGAAATTTTTTTCTGATGTGGAAGATCAGCCTAAACCGCAACCACAGCATACTAAAATAAACCAAGAGCTCTGATACCAATTGTTGTGGAATTCAGGTTAATTTCCACCAATAATAACAAATTCATCTTGAAAACTATTATCTAGGTGACTAGTGTGAAAACGATTGTACTAAAAATCACCTCAAGATAGATTCCCAGGAAAGAGGAGGGGTCACAATGGTCCCTCTTAAAACTCACTTTCCTTAGACAGAACTACCAAGACAAGTATTTTAATAGGACAATAATTAACAACAACTATACCCGACAATAGTTATTAAATAGACATAAAGAACACCAAAATTTAACGAGGTTAGACCAAAATTATGCATACGTCCTCGAACACTACTAAATAATATTTCACTAATAGAGGAAATATTACAAGAGAGAGAAAAAATACAATAACCTTTAATATAGAAGAATGCTTATATTTGTGGATACAAAACTAAGGAGGAGGAGGCTATTTTATAACAAAAGAATTTTTCCTCCTCCTTATACACAACTAATGTGGGATTTTGCCAAAAACCAACAATTATTGCTACTCCAGAGTTTGTAGATCCTGTCGATTTCGATTTCATTGTTGTTGTTCTGTTGTTTCCGTTACTAATTTCTTTTGCTCTAATATGTTCCTTTACTTCTGTTGCGATCCTCCCCATTGCTCTTGTCACACTGTTGTCGAAACGATTTTTTCTTAATGGTGAAACAACGGTGAGATTTTAAAAACCACATTAATTCTTAATTATCTCTTTTTAATTTAAAACAAATGCGATTTAAAAGACCTCTCATTTCGAAAATTTTAGATTTCCTTTACGATCGAAAATACAATTCAAAGAGTCGCCACCATCTTTGATTAGGGTGTGATTGGGCACCCAAAAATGATGTCATTTTAAATAAAAATTAATTTTAATTAAAACAACAAATTGAGGCCTGCGTTACCAAAATCCAAGTTCGGGTCGGTTACGTGTAGGGAAGGATTAGCACCCCCACAACGCCCTAAATCGGTACCTAGTCGATTAATTAACGTCTTTGCAATGAAAATTTACAAATTCGAGTTTAATTTGATTTATAATCCCAACACAAAACACATGCGAATTTTATCATACTCAAAGCACCAATTGATTAAGTTAAATTACCCAACCATTAGAAAGATAAAGAATATTCGATTATTTAAAAATCGAGACCAGATCTTAAACAGTTATAACAACCTTTTCTCGATAAACTTAAATAAACATTTTTTTTCTTTCTAAATTTAAAAGTGATCATTCAATTTTTATGTGTTACTAATGGATATACTTTTAATTTAAATAGTTAAAAGCAGATATCTCAGTTAAGACAATCCACTTAAGACAATTTTAAATTAAAGGATATACCCTTAATCAATTATGTAATAATGTCGGGTTATGCTCATGAGGATATCATATACGAACTAAAATGTCATGCATTCAAACAAATTTCTAGTCTATAAAATATTCACATGCATTTATGGTTATCTATTTTACAAAGGAAATCTTAAATTCTTATATTCTAAGATTATTAAACCTATCATACTCCTATTAATATGTTACAAGGGCTTTCATGCTAAATAAATATACGATATATGAATACATACATTAACGCATTCATTAAAATAAAATAAAAACCTACTGTGAATAACCCAATCTTGAATTTAATATTACCATAAAGGATGAAAAGCTAAACATCAAATTATTAACCAAATACGAATTGATTAGTACATCACCAAGTCTGCCATAGGACTAAATTGTCAAACATCAAAACTCACAGTTAAATGCAAAAATAAACGAAAATGAAAAAACATAAGCTGGTGACCAAACAAATGCGCGTGAACTAGTAGAACCGAATTAAGAAAACAGAAAGACTGACTCAAGGACTAAAATATAATTAATTAAAAGATACTGGACTTCGCACCTGATTACTCCCTAACGTCCTAAACACGGATGATGATATAACTCTCAAAACGTCACCGTCTCGTCCCATTCCAAACGACGTCGCATCACTCCCGGACTCAAAACGCTGCCGTTTTGGCTCAGTTCTAAACGACGCCGTTTTGGTTACTGGATGATAGATACTTAGGGTAAAATTTTTACTTGGTTCATTATCTCTCATCCTTAACCGACCCTCGCCATTCTCTCATCCTTTCTTCCTCAAGGCTTCGCCAAGAAAACCCAAACCGATCATCTCCCCTCGCTCAGGACCTAGACTCGCAAGCCAAACCTAAACCTCATCGAGGACCCTCCTAAATACCTAAAATCAACATAGATCTAAGGTCAAAAGAGGTTACCTGAACGACTGGTGGTGGTTTTGGCCCTAAGCGATGTGAGTGAGTTTCTTCAGACGAATAAAGGTACGGGTTCGTTTTCTATTTTCAGCTTTCACTCTCTGGTTCTGAATGTTTTCTTTGTTTCGTGGATCTCTCGTTTGCTGTGGTTAATCTTTTTTTCTCTTGCTTTCTGTTTTTTTAAATAAGATAGATGTCAAATTTCCACTTTGGTGGGCGATAACATCAGCGTTGCCTAGATATCACTGCATTTAATATTAACTAATGGGTTAATTACAAATTTTTTGACTCAATTTTCTTCTATTTCCTATTATGGTCTCTAAAATTTTAAAACTTTTTATTTTCCTATTTTAGTCCCTCAAATGTTAAATCATAAATGGAAAAATGGTACGAAAGTTACGCTTGCCGATGTGGATTATTTTTATCGACATGAAATCCATGTATCATCCACAACATTTTTTTAACTTTATTTTCTTTTTTTAAAGATGAAAGTTCTATAGTTTCATCCAAGTGATATGTCGCCACTGCAATCATCGACGACTTCACCTCATTACCCGTACCACTATCAATTTAGATTTTACCTAGATCACTTTAAAACTCAATTATATCCGCAAAACTCATAAAATTGCAAACCATTATGATCTATATGTTCACCATATGATCAACGTGGAATTAAGATAGTCAATTCACTTCTTCTTTATCTACCACCCATCATTAATTTTTTTTTTGGATAAGTAAGTTATATTTCCATCCAAAAAGAAACAGCCAAAGCTGCTACAAAACGTTACAAACAATTATGAACAAGCAACAAATTACAACCTCAAATCAATATAACCATGCCTATACAACTTGATATTTACCTCCTCCAAAATCCTATTTACAATGACATCAATTGAACGAATCAAATTCCTATGATATCGATGGTTACGCTCCTCCCAGATAAGATAGAGAAAGCCAGTCCACAACAACTTAAGGGCACGAACTCGAAGGGTTTTTCCCCTGAGGTTTGACAGTAACCAGTGAAGCTGCTCGTCCCAGGCGCGAGCCATAAATGAGAGACCATGAGCGTTCAACACAGCTCCCCAAACGCCCCTAGCAAAAGAACAGTCAGCAAAAAGGTGGTCACGGGACTCCATTCCAGCACCACACAAGCCACAAACATTGTCAACAAGCAAGCCGAACCGAGCAAGCCTATCCTTGGTAGGCAGCCTATCGAGAATGACCATCCAAGAGATTAAAGAGAATTTGGGAATATGGCCAGGAAACCAGATTAACCTGTGCCAGCTAACTTTATCTCTACTGCCACGGATGTTATCCCAAATCCACTTACCATTGATTAAACTCCAATTAGCATAGGGGAAGAACAACCCCCTAGCCTCACCCCTCAACTTCAACAGTTTAGTTAAGATCCAGCTAAAGTGAGATTTGCACTCAACCTCCCAGAAACTCAAAGATTTAAAGCAATATTCCTTGATCCATGCAATCCAAAGCGAGCCCTCCCCAGCCAAAATGTTTCTGACAAGCAGCGGGCAGCAAGCTCTACTCCAAACCACAAGGTTTTTAAGCCCCAGACCACCCTCCGATTTTAAGGAACAAACCTGGTTCCAGCCAACACGGGCGCCCCTAGTTGGGGTGTCACTGCCCTTTCAAAAGAAGCGCATACAAAGCCTTTCAACATCCCTGATAATCCCTTTAGGAAGGATGAGCTGTTTGCTCCAGTAGTTGAAGATACCAAACAAGACAGTTTTGATTAACTGCAGTCTGCCCCCAAAGCTAAGGTTTCTATTAGACCATTGGTTGAGCTTGTGCTTGAGCCTGGCCAACAGAGCTGCACAGTCCTTACCTGTGAGCTTTCTAGTCACAAGAGGTACACCAAGGTACCTAACAGGAAGATGCCCTAGTCTAAAACCAGAAGCAGTACAAATCTGATCCAGAACATGAGAACTCAAACCACAAGCAAAGAATTCTATTTTCTGGGCATTCAACTTGAGGCCAGATAACTCATAAAACTTCTCTAAGGTGCTCAATACTCCCAAAACAGAATCTAGGGAACCATGGCAAAATACAAGCAAATCATCCGAGAAACAAAGATGAGTGAGAGGAACTCTTTTACATTTAGGGTGAACTTAAAAATTCTCTGCTTAGTAGCAACGTCCAAATGGGAAGACAACACATTAATAGAAATGATAAAAAGGTAAGGAGATAGGGGGTCTCCTTTCCTAATTCCCCTAGCACCCTTGAAAAACCCCACTAGGCTCCTATTTAGAGAAACAGAGAACATAAGAGTGGTAATACATCCTTTGACCCAATTACAAAAGATAGGAGGGAGCCCCAAAGCCTCAAGAACAGAAAATAAAAATCCCCAATTAACAGAGTCAAAAGCTTTTTGTAAATCAATTTTTATGGCACACATAGGGGAAAGACTTTTCCTTGAATAGCCCTTAACAATTTCCTGAGCTAACAAGGTGTTATCAACTATGTTCCTACCCCTAACATAGGCAGACTGACTCTGAGAAATCATGGCAGGGAAGAAAGGCATTAATCTATCCACCAGAATTCTAGTAATAGTCTTGTACACCACAGAACAACAAGATATTGGCCTAAAATCTCTAGCTAAACAAGGATTAGGGGTTTTAGGGACCAAAACTAAGGCAGTAGTGTTGAAAGCTGGCAACATAATAGAAGATTGAAAGAAGTACCTCACAGTAGAAATAAAATCTGCCCTAACAATGTCCCAGACAGCTTTGAAGAAACCAGAAGTGTATCCATCTGGGCCTAGACTTTTGTCCTTACCTTGCTTGAACAAGACCTTTTTAATCTCCAAACCATCCACCTCCTTAGTGAGAGACACTGCAGCATCATTAGGCAAGGAGTAAGGTAATAGATCCTTAAGGCTCTCCACAGAACAACCACTAACCATGGGATCAGCAGATCCAACAAGATAAGTGAAGAACCTAACTAACTCTGCAACCATCTCATCAAATGACTCATAGCACTGACCCTCTTCACTCATAATAACTCTGATAGTGTTATTCTTTTTATTGGACTCAACCTTCTGATGAAAAAACCTGGTATTTAAATCACCCTCCTTTAACCAGTGCCTGTAGAACTCTGACTCAGCAATTTCCAGGTCAACCAACTCAGCTTTGAGAATTCTTTCATCATTCATCCTCCTCTGACCAACATGGGACAGGTTAAAAAGCTGTAACTGCTCAAGATCGGATCTCTTGGACTTAACTCTACCAGATATGTCAGAGAAGAATTCCTTGTTAAAATCCTTAAAACATGATTTAAGCCTCTTTAATTTCCTTAACAAACACTGCATAGGGTTCCCATCACAATAGCCCAGCCAGGAATTCACAACAGTGCTCAGAAACTGCTCATGGCCAGTCCAACAATTAAAAAACTTGAAAGGCCTAGGCTTCTTAACCATGACCCCTTTATGTGACCAAAGCAGACCCAGACAGTGATCAGACACGCCTTGAGCCTTAAATTTAACAAAGGACTCAGGGAAATCCAGCATCCAATGAGGGTTGACCAGTATCCTATCAAGCTTTCTAGCCAAGAAAGAGTCTTCTTATCTGTTAGACCAAGTAAACAAAGGACCTAGAAAAGGATGATCCATGAGTTCAAGATCATCCAAGCATTCCTGAAATTCCCTCATATCAGGAGTATAGTGCACTCCTATAATTTCAAAGTCAGAACTTTCCTCTGGGCTAGCAGTAATGTTGAAGTCGCCCCCAATCACCCAAGATAAAGGACCCAAAACATTCTCTACAGACTTCAGATGGTCCCAAAGACCTCTCCTAACAACCCCATTATTGCTACCATAGATGGCAATAATACCAATTCTATGACCATCGACAGTGCCAAAAATAGTAATGGCCTGGTCACATTTCCTCAACACAGAAAGTGAAAGATTCCTCCTCCATAAGACCCAAAGTCTGCCTCCTTCAACATAATCATAATTCTCAGCCAAATACCAATCACTAGACAAGGAGGAGATAAACTTGGCAGAGCTATCTCTCCTGATCCGAGATTCCATAAAGCATATAACATCAACATCAAAAGAAATCAGTCTCTTCAAAACCTTTATTTGCTTTAGGGGGTTATTAATCCCCCTAACATTCCAAAATCCAACAATCAACAGGGAAGAGTAGAAGGAGCACCACTAACAGAGCCAAAGCTCACCCCAGTACCTTTGACTTTGTCAAAATTTTCATTTTTCTTCGATTTTATCTCATTGAGTAGAACATCCACCCCCAAAGAAGCTACACGAACCTTCTTAGAACCCTCTGACAAGTTATCAACCTTATCATAAGAGCCAACAGCTTCATTTTTCTTACCCCTAACCTTCTTTTTAATTGAATCTTGAAGAGGAGGGAAATCACCAACCTGGGAGGCAGTAAACCCAACATCCTCAGTTGAAAGACTAGTACCACACTGGCTAAAGACCACCTGCTCCTGCACACCAGTAGAAGCAGTCAAAGCAGCAGATTTATTCAAACCAGGAAAACCATTAATCATAGCGGAAGAAGTTATTCTATCAACATTAACCTCCTACAAAGATTGCACAGAGGTCTCAATGGAATTCCCCACACTCAGCCCTATTTTAATCTTGGAATTACAGTTACTCTTAAGAGTAGCCTCACCACTTGAACTGCCAAGAACAGCCATGCAGCTAGGATCAGGCACAGGCATATTTGGGTCAGAAACAGGAGCAGCTAAGTTAGATACATAATCTGCAGAAGAATTAGAAAAGTCCTTTTTCCTCCAAACTTTAACATCTCTAGGCTTCAGAGAGTGTCCAACCTCCATACATGAACTGACATGGTGGCCAAACACTTTGCATTTAACACAACTCTTAGGTAACCAAGGAACATGAACTCTGATTCTAACAGAAGACCCATTCAAAAGCACATGAATCAATTCAGGAATAATCTCACCAACTTCAAGCTCAACACACACCTTGGCATATTCCAGTCTCGTCCTAGAAGCAGTTATGGAATCCATATACAGGGGAGTGCCTATCGCACTAGCTATGTAACTGAGGCCCTTGCGAGTATAAAGCTCCAGAGGAACATTTTGAAGCTGAACCCAAACCGGCATACAGGACAAATCAAAACTAAGATTCTGAAGACCTGGCTCCCATTTCCTTAAAATTAGGGGTTTGTTCTGAATATGCCAAGGGCCGTTATCCAAGACCCAGTCCCTCAGATCAAGATTCAAGAAAGAAAAAACATAAAGATTAGGGCCAGCTAAACTAACCTTAACCTGCAAAGAATTTCCCCAAATCGATTCGATGATTCGTTGTAGCGAACTGAAATTGGGGGCCAAATCAATGAACTGTCCCACTAAAGCGAGATTCCAATCAGCTATGCCTTCCTCTATCACGTTAGAAGGGGGCTTGACGGTAGCAACGCCATCCTGAAGATTAGGGGGAAAAAACTCGAGAGCCTGCTCTTTTAAACCCACAAACAGTTTCCGCCAATCTAAACTCCGCGACTTTGAACCCATGAAAAAGAACAAAGAACAAAACTAGAAAACTGAGAATAGAAAATCGAAGAGGAAGATCAGAAGCGAAGAAGAAAATCTGGAGAGCCATTAGGCCAGCTAACGTGCGCCCAGAGAGATTTCATTTCCTCCTTGATTATATTCGTTAACCTTCATCATCATTAAAATTTAGAAGAAGCTGTTTCATTATAAAAAAAATATCTAAAAGAATTTGAAATTAAGGATTTTTTCATTGTTTTTAATTTTTAAAAGAAAAAGGTCTAATCATAATGTGGCTAAATATGTCAATAAATTTAAAATAGGGGTAAAAAATTGAAAGATAAAATTTATAACTTACTCTTAATTAATTGATTATTAAAAATATTAATTAATTAAATATAGTTTATTTTTTTATTATTTTATGAACCACGACTCCTTTATATGTCGTTTTACGATTTTAAATAATTCGATTCTTCAGAATATTCGAAATCAAAGATACCATAAACGTAGAGACTAAAGGCTGGGTAAATCATTGGTCGTTTCCCAAACAGATAGTTTACAGTTTATCTAAAACTAAGAAAATAGATAGGTGGCAAAAATCATGTAAAGTTCACATGAAAAACGAAACACAAAACTTGGAACTATGAATTCAAAGATCTTCTTCTTCCTCTGCTCGTCATCTGACTGTAGAGGCAACAGTATGAGCCCACCATCTAAGGCTGTCTTTCATGTCAATCTCATTACCTAAGTCTGGAACTCTCCAATTCATCAAGGGATTATTTGGTTTTCTTCTTTCTGAAACTTTCCACGCTTCTGAAAGATAAGGCCTTGCAACTTTATCATCGTCACTTTCATGAGTATCTTCTTCTTCTTCGGGCTCTTTCTTTCTTAATCTTTGCAGCCCTGGAATTATCTCGACCAACCTCGGATCCTTATTATCTTCCTCTGAGAAAACAAAGCCAAGATCCATAAACCCTTTTAGCTCTTCAAATTCCAAGTCCGACAAGCTCTTACTTTTGCCCTTCTTCTTTCTCGTAATAATCTTCATATAACTACAACTTCCTTGCGAATCTTCTTTGCTATTCCTTTGCCCGACATGGTTTTATGGAGATTCGGTGAGTGGAGAACCGAGTCAGGTGAGAAAGAACCACAAGAACTTATAATGAAGCTTGTTCTAATTAAGCTCAACTGATTGCTTATTGATCTTGAATGCTGAGAAAAAACTGGTTTCGATGAGTTTTCTTCGGTTTGGCGATGTGGGTTTGGTTCGAAGCTCGTGGATGTTGATTGAGATGATCGGTTCTTGAAGATTTCCATCTCGAACCACCATGAATCGAAGAGATTCATAATCTCATCTATCTCCATTAAAGTCAGCTCAAGAAATAAAAAAAGTCTCGCTGAAATTATAAGCTTATGGTTTCATTCAGACTGTGACCCTAAATATAGATCAGAATTGTGACCATAATGCCCTTGAACACGTACTTAAATGAGGAAAAACTCAACTATAGGACGGGTATATGGTAATACAATAAAAATAGTATTTAACGTTGCATTAATTAATATTTGGAAATAACCATCCAGCTCAATTGGTAGAACACAAGGTTTTTAACCTTGAGGATCGAGTCTCATGAAGGGTATTTCATAATTTGGATGTCTCCTACGAAAGCTGCTCTCAACCAGCCTACTATCTTACCTCTCCCTCACCCCCATTATATATGGGAACAAGAACATCCATTTTTTAATTAATATTTGGTATAACTATTAAATTGTCGGACTTTACATGGCTTAAAGAAGAAGCAACTTCCACTGATCACAGTGGTTTTCTCTTAAAAACAAGAAAGAAGAAAAGTCAATAAACTTTGAATTATTGAGGGTGGTGAAACATTATCGTAGAATTATTTTAGGAAACCTTTTCTATTTAATATATAGATTATTTATATTTAGAATTTAAATATAATTTTGAAAATAAAATTATTCAATAAAATAGTAAAAGGAAATACGAAAAAAAGGAGACATTTAATCTTTTTAATTATATTTTTCTATTAGCGTTATATCAACTCACTAATGTACAACTAAACAGTCTGAACTGGTTTAATGAAATATTTTGCTAACATAATAGTCTCATGACACCTAATAATTTTTACCTTTTAGTTCTAGAGCTCTAATTCCATGTAACACCCTAGATCTTATTGGGCCTAAAGAGTCGCATTAGGCTACCAAGGCAACCCCTGAATTTCAAAACCTGTTCGTTCTCTTGTAAAACATACTCAATGGTATCATATAACATACAAAACAATTACTAAAACATTTTGCAAACCAGAGTTCCATGACACATAATTTTAAAAAAATACATCTTTAGACTTATAACACAAATATATAAGTAAGGTTCTATGAATACATATGCCCACTAAAGTTACAGTACAATACTCTGAAGATGATGGAAGTCTTGCTACGACGATACTCAACGAACTGCCCAAGCTACTGACCTGCCAACAAAAAACATTTGAGGTTGAGCTTACAAAGCCAAACAGTATAACTGCTAATATAGAGCATCATTACGAGTTTCATAAACATAAGCTAAAGATGGGTACTAAGTACTAGGCACATACATGATCTTGATCAAGTGTTACCTACTTAAGGCTTTATTGATTTATCACTGAAGTAGGAAACTCACGCTTCCCTTAGTCCTTATACAAGGGCCTCACCATTAGTATAACTTTATCAGGTCTATACTTAGACTGATTGCAACCGCTTTGCATTATCTAAATGCAACTCTAACTCGACAGTGTACTATGTATATGTAATGCTTACCAGTATCTGGTCTCACAAAGCCATCAGACACTAGAAATTGCGGATATCACGTCTATCTAACCCACCCTTCACGAGTGTTAGGCCTCACGCCCAAATTAGTCATCGAAGTACGAGTGCCTCGCACGCTTACTGTGGTGTATCAGGGTAAGGACATCACACATGCCAACGCACCCCTCGCGAGTGTTAAGGAATCGACACATAGTCAGTCGTAAAAATGCC